ATAAAAAACGGAAATCATGTAAGTCAATGATAACCTATATCCAGAGGGGATATTAAACAAAAAAAAAACGCTAATGGGTAACCAGAAGAACAAGATTTTTGAATATTACATATAGAAATTTCCAAATATTTTAAATATTACATATAGAAATTTCCAAATATTTTAAAGATTTTAGAGAAAGTTTCGATTTACGGTGTAAATCTAATGCTAAACTGGACCATTATATTGAGTCCCTCAGGTTAGTTAAACTTTTTTTTAACATTATAAATTCAATATCCAACTGAAAATTTCTTGTCGTAAATCAAGTCTACAACCTTTTTTTTGTTGTTTTTCTTTTACTGGCCACTGGAAAAGCTAGACTTTAAAATGTCAATGTTTTGTGTTTAGATTTGCATTTCGATAAATGGCTACCAAGAGGCTTTACAAGTTCTTGATGGTCGCTGCTGCAAGTGAAAACGCCATTGATCCTAGAGTCGTTTATTAACGTAGGATTGATTTGTTTTTTACGGTTTATCAACCTTAGATTGTAAGATATTTTTTTGGAAATAATAATGATTTACTGATACATGTCCTACTGTTTATCTCATAGATGGGTGGAGAAGCGGTCGATTCATACTTTTTCCAAAGGCATTTGCACCTAGGTGAATACAATGAACCCGACTGGAATTGGAACTTAGTTCTTCGTTTTTTCATCATATTTCTTGCACATCGAATCTTACATTTCCTGGTATTCTCGAGGGGTCACAAAATTCAAAATATATTTTTGCATTGTTTTTTTTTTTTTTTTTTTGAGATAATAATGGTTTTCTAATACAAGTCATACTATTTAACCCATAGCTGGGGGAGAAGAGGTGGATTTGCGCGTAAGTAAATATAACTAACCCGACGTGAACTAGAACTGTGTTCTCTGATTTCCAATTCCGATCTATCACACCACCCGCACACCCAAGCTTGAAGCAAATGGAATTTCTAAGCGCTTACTCATCTAGGTAGGGACTATATTAACGACATTATTAAAACATTATTGACTGTTATGTTTGCGCTTATTACAGCTATAAATACTCGAGCAAAAAAAGATTTGAAAAATGTGTGAGTACTTGAAACCCTTTCTAAAATCCTTCCTAGAGTCCATGATAATGGCGATTTTCAAATACGCCATAATTCAATAAATATCTATTTCTAATATAGGAGGCACGATGTAATAGATAGCGGCTCAAATTGAGGAATCGGAGAGCCGGGTTCGAATTCCAGTCGAAACGATTACATTCACTTGGAAAAAGGTATAAATCCTCTTCTCCCCCATGGGTAAATAGCAGGACAGATCGGGTTCTCCTAGACCAGTTGTCATCCAACCATTCAAGCAATTAGTCTAGGAGAACCTGGTCTGTGTGTGGCAAATTGTCTTGGAGAAGGACAACTCTGAATTCAAAACTTACTCGGTTAAAAACTGGCTTGTTACAGAAACCGCAACTATGTGCCTCAAGGAATTTAAAGGCATAATATATATATTTTTCTAACGTATGATCTTCGTTAGAAATAAAAGGCGAGTTTTCATAATAGTTGATAATAATTGATCTAATAAAAATAAAATCAGATTATCATTTCCTGCCAGGTCTGTCTATATTTCCTGCAGGTCACTTACCTTCGACCGTGCGCTACGCCCTACACATGACTCAGGGTAAATATTGATCCATCTCTTTTCATTGCGAAAAAAGACGGACGGAATATGTCAGAGAGGCTTTCTGGTTTTAGTCAGTAAAAAAAGCAATAAGGAAGAAAGGAAGGAGAAAAGAAAGAAAGAAAGAAAGAAAGAAAGGGCTCGCAGATTATCTAAAGTCAGAGTTAAAATATTTGATGCCAACAAACAAGAAGTTTTTGCTCGATTGATTCATTTTTACGACTTATCAACCCTTTGCAGGTGATATAAGAATTTTGTTTTGGACCACTTCGTAAATATATGCAAATCTAGCTAAGTTTTGTTAATTTTTAATTTTTTCAATTGTACTCTGTGCTGTAATTTTTTATTTGCAGCCTTTTTTCATTGTTCACTTGTACCCTATTAGATTTTTTAAATTTGTACCCTTTTACTTTTTTTATAATTTGTACCCTTTAATTTTTAAAAAAATTGTATCCTTTTAGTTTTTTAAAATTTATACCCTTTTAGTTTTTTTTATTTATACCCATTTATTTTTTTTTTTAAATTTGTACCCTTTTATTTTTTTAAATTTTTGTACCCTTTTAGTTTTTTTATTTTGTACCATTTTATTTTTTTTTTAATTTGTACATTTTTATTTTTTTAATTTGTACCCATTTAGTTTTTTTAATTTATATCCTTTTAGTTTTTTTTTTTAAATTTGTACCCTTTTATTTATTTTTTTTATTTGTAGCTTTTAGTTTTTTTTAATTTGTACCCATTTAGGTTTTTTTTAATTTGTATCCTTTTAGTTTTTTTTTAATTTGTACCTTTTTGTTTTTTTTAATTTGTACCCATTTAGATTTGTTTTTGATTTATACACTCTTATTTTTTAAATTGGTACCCTTTTAGGTTTTTTTTTTAAATTTGTACCCTTTTAGTTTTTTTAAATTTGTACCCTTTTAGTTTTTTTTAATTTGTACCCGTTTAGAGTTTTTTTTTAATTTGTACCCTATTAGTTTTTTTTTAATTTCTACTCTTATATTTTTTTAAATTTATACCCTTTTAGTTTTTTTTTTAATTTTTACCCTTTTAGATTTTTTAATTTCTACCCTTTTAGTTTTTTATATAATTTGTTCCTATTTAGATTTTTTTAAAATTTGTACCCTTTTAGTTTTTGTTTTTAATTTGTACATTTTTATTTTTTTTAATTTGTATACATTTAGTTTTTTTTTAATTTGTATCCTTTTAGTTTTTTTTTAAATTTGTAGCCTTTTAGTTTTTTTAATTTGTACCCTTTTAGACTTATTTTATTATTTGTACCCTATTAGTATTTTTAATTTCTACCCTTTTATTTTTTTTAATTTATACCATTTTAGTTTTTTTTTAATTTGTACCCTTTTAGATTTTTTCAATTTATACCCTTTTAGTTTTTTTTTAAATTTGTACCCTTTTAGTTTTTATCAAAAATTGTACCAATTATATTTTTTTTAATTTGTACCCTTTTAGTCTTTTTAAACTTTTACCCGTTTAGATATTTTTTAATGCATACCCTTTTAGCTTTTTAAAAATTTGTACCTTTTAGTTTTTTTTTAATTTGTACCCTTTTAGATTTTTTTAATTTCTACCCTTTTAGTATTTTTAAAATTTGTACCCTTTTAGTTTTTATCAAAAATTGTACCCTTTTATATTTTTTTTAATTTGTACACTTTTAGTTTTTTTTAAATTTTTACCCTTTTAGATATTTTTTTAATTTATACCCTTTTAGTTTTTTTTAATTTGTACCCTTTTAGTTTTTTTAATTTGTACACTTTTAGTTTTTTTTTAATTTTTTGCCTTTTTAGTTTTTTAATTTGTATCCTTTTATTTTTTTTATTTGTACCCTTTTAGATTTTTTTTTAATTTATACCCTTTTAGTTTTTTTAATTTGTATCCTTTTAGTTTTTTTTTAAAATTTGTACAGTTTAATTTTTCTTTAATTTGTAGCTTTTAGTTTTTTTAATTTGTACCCTTTTAGTTTTTTTAATTTTTCCATTTTAGTTTTTTTAATTTGTACCCATTTAGTTTTTTTAATTTTTAACCTTTTAGTTTTTCTTTAATTTGTACCCTTTTATTCTTTTTAAATTTTGTACCCTTTTAGTTTTTTTTAATTTATACTCTTTTAGTTTTTCTTAATTTGTACCCTTTTAGTTTTTCAATTTGTACCCTTTTAATTTTTTTAAAAATTTGTACCCTTTTAGTTTCTTTTTTAAAATTTTTACCCTTTTATTCTTTTTTAAATTTGTAGCCTTTTAGCTTTTTTTTTAATTTCTACCCTTTTAGACTTATTTTTTATTTTACCTATTAGTTTTTTTAATTTATACCATTTATTTTTTTTTTAAGTTTTTTTAAATTTGTACCCTTTTAGATTTTTTCAATTTATACCCTTTTAGTTTTTTAAAATTTGTACCCTTTTAGTTTTTATCATAAATTGTACCCATTATATTTTTTTAATTTGTACCCTTTTAGTGTTTTCAAATTTTTACCCGTTTAGATATTTTTTAATGCATACCCTTTTAGTTTTTTTTTTAAATTTGTACCTTTTAGTTATTTTTAATTTGTACCATTTTGGTCTTTTTTAAAAAATTTGTACCGTTTTAGTGTTTTTAATTTGTACCCTTTTATTTTTTTTTATTTGTACCCTTTTAGACTTATTTTTAATTTATACACTTTTAGTGTTTTTTTAATTTGTACCCTTTTAGTTCTTTAATTTATACCCTTTTAGTTTTTTTAAAATTTGTATCCTTTTAGTTTTATTCTTAATTTGTACTTTTTTAGTTTTTTCATTCGTTCGTGTTTTTTTTCATTTTTACCTTTTAACGTATTGGTCAAAAAACAATAATAAAAATCATAAAATAATGATGTCATGGCAAATAACTGTCCAATTACTCTAAAATATGTTGATTTTCTTTTTAATTAGCAGATGTGGTGTAAACATGAAGAAGTTCGAAGAGACAACCGGTCGATACATAAAAATCGGGGAAAACAAAGATGTGAAATTCACTCCGAATTACTGAAGAACACGTTTGAAATAAAAGAATTTTCTTCATTTCAAGTTAACTGAGAGAATGAACACTTGAAGAAGGTTGGAAAGCTTACCAGCCAAAACGTAAGCCACAAAATCGCTAAGGTGAGGATGACATTCCAAATAATTTGCCGGATAAGCTCCAAGGAAATTGATTCTATTTTTAAAGGCAATTGCTGGAATGAATGAATGATCGGCATTTTCCGCTTGAGTGGGAGAGTCGCATCAACATCGGTTGGCATTTGCGCTTTGCTTGTCCAATTCTTTGAGCTGCCATCTGCAGATTTGAGCTCCGCTTGAAGAATGAACGCATCAAATAACACAGTATTGATCCGAAGACGGGTGAGCCGAACCTAAGAGATCAAATCCGAGCGATGAGCCGGCTTAAAAAAATTAATCCCCCATTTTCAGGCCTTTCGTTTTGGATGATGTTTATCGGCTCAACAACTTTGATCATACGCCTCAGTAGACGTTCAAGAATGGGACAACATTACCGTTTCTTTCCAGAAGACAGAAGGAGATAGAGAGAGAGAGAGAGAGAGAGAGACATAGAGAGAAATAGATAAATATATATTTAGAGGGGGGGAATTAGGGAGAAGGACGGTAAATATCTTAGAAAGTTTACTTTCTTGGTTTTTCTTTTTTTATTATATTATTCAAGCTGTTTCCCGTCGTTTTTCTTCTTCTCAACTTTATTTTTAGCGTATTTCTTTCTTTCTTTCTTTCTTTCTTTCTTTCTTTCTTTCTTTCTTTCTTAGAGACTTTATCTTTCATTTTCGCGTTTTTAGACTGTATTTTTTTATAATTTTCTTTCTTTCTTTCTTTTTTTCTCTTTTTTTTTTTTCTTTTTCATTATTTTTTTCATTTCGAGACTTTATTTTTTTCATTTTTCTTTTTCTTTCTTTCTTTATTTTTTCTTTTTTAGACTTTTTTTTTTTCCCATTTTTTTACTGTATTTTTTTATAATTTTCTTTCTTTCTTTCTTTCTTTCTTTCTTTCTTTCTTTCTTTCTTCGAGACTTTATCTTTTATTTTTCCCTTGTTTTTACTTTATTTTTTATCATTTTTCTTTGTTTGTTTGCTTGTTTCTTTGTTTGTTTGTTTCTTTCTTTTTTTCCAATACCGTGTCTCGCCTCAATAGAGAAATGATAAAAGTACATGTTCTGTGAAGCTCTTGTACTTCTCGGCCTCGTTCCAGCGAGCTTGTGTTGTAAAACAAAAACGTCGTCATCTAAATCTGGTGGATAAATGTGAGACTAATCAAAAACCCTCTAATTAAACACTGCTAATGATTTCATACCCCACATTCTAAAAAACCGTGTCACTTCAGGACAAAGACAGTCATGGCTCTCCACAGCTTTCAATCCTTTCTACCTCTAAGCAATGTTTATGTTTTCACCATTCCTCCCAGACTCTGCACTGTCAACTATTTACACATGCTCATAATGGATGTTATTCGTTGCTTTCCTCTGTTTTTCTTGCCTTCAAATTCATTGAATGTCAAATTCTTCAAGCCCTCTTATTTCTATCTCATTTTGGATCTTATAAAATTTCAACTGTCTCTTTTGGACTCTAGGCATAATGCTCCTTTTTGGTGCCTTTTTCCTACAAACTTCATGTTTATTTACATGTTTAGTCAATAGTATTCTCAGAAGTCTTGTGCAGAGCCCCATTTCTACTGCTCATGCCTCTGCTTCCTCTGTGAGGAGATTGTCCAGTATTCATTGCCATATAGGAGGACTACCTTTCGAAAGCCATGTTTTGCTATTCCAACGTGACTTCGGATTTCGGTGTCACAATTCTCTGTTAAAACACTTCGTAGATATTTAAATTTTCGTACTTGCTTGATTTTTTTTGTTTTTAATTAGTACTTCGCATGTTGGGCTGTTCCTTTTGTTGACAACCATGCATTCTGTCTTCTTGCAATTAGTCCTTTCTTCTCGCTTTCCTTCAGTACATTCTGTAGTAGTTTCCTTTCTGTGTTTCCTATCAACATCTACTTATCGTATGTTGTTAAGACCGTGTGATGCCAATAATGAACCCAGTTAGCACTTCTAATTCCCTCACTATAAAGGTTGAATAAGCCCGTTCAGAAACGTATCCTTGTCTTACGCCCCTTTCTATTTTTGTGCATTTGCTGAATTCATTCACTATCCGTATGCAGGCGGTTACTTCCTAGTATGTCTGGATTATTCTAATGTCTTTTTTCAAATGAATGAAGCTTACCTAGCAGTTCAAATAGTTCTTTGTGTCGTATCATATTGTTGCGGGTCGTATGCTGAGTGACGTTTATCACAAGGTGAATTTTTACAAGGTGAAAGTTATGCGTGTTTGCAATTTGGATTATCCCACAACAAATAGATTATTACACAAAGAACATAAGGACAATTGCATAGCAAGGAATGACTGAATAACGTGATTAGAGATCAACAATAAAGAGATTTTTATATACAATAAATACACATGCAAAGATAAACAGGAATTATTGTTGGTTTGTTAATTGAGATAATGTTTTGAAGAATGTTCGTGCAGAATTGTGGTAAGTAAATGCTGATGCTTTTGGCTTGTTATTAAAATTAAAATAATTTTTGTTTCTGCGTAGTAAAATATCAAAATGTATTGTTCAAATGTTAGTGTGTGTGTGCGTGTGTTATTTATGAGTCAGAATTAAAGTTGCTAAAAGTTGTTTGCCTTTGACCGATAGGCTAAATTGATAAATGTACAATTACTTTGACGTAGTGAAAATGTTCACTCTTTAAGTCAATTGTAGGTGATAAATATCCACGCGGACAATGGTTATTTGAATGCTGCGTTGAGTTTGTTGAGAAACTTTAAGTGGTTGCGAGTCAGTAAATTGAACAGCGTGGAGTTTGTAAGGATCTCTTGAAATTTGATGAGTGACTGACTTGAACTGAGTCATGTGTTTTTTTATATAGAGTTGGGTGTTTAAAATTCGGCTCCAGGACGCTTAGGCGGGAAAAGATCCTGTTGTGACTTTGCTACAGTTTTAACCAATAGGAGATTGAATTTTACTGAAACGAAATGTTGATTGGTAGAGGCTTTGATTTATAGAAGAAGACATTTTTTCTTGTACTATTTCCGGTTTAATTCTATTCTATTCCGCACTGTTCATTAGAATTCGGATCATAAGTTTCGTTATGTCGCTCATTAGGCTGACTGTCCGATGGAACTTGAACTTGGTTACTTAGGCAGAGCTGTGAAAATAAATCTACTATGTTCAACCAGTATATGAATATCTTATATTTCATTAATTAGTTTTGTAATTTTGCCAAACTAAATCTGCCAGCATCTCTATTACAATCCCGTAAGGATTTGTTCCTGTTCAAATTGGACAGAGTTGATTTAATTACAGACTTTAGGCCCAACTTATCTAGCCGCAATCACTGACCCAAACAAACTATACAATATTCTTTACACCAAAATACGATATTTTTAATTACCATTCTTACTACAATCACCCTAATACCTCAAGTCTCTATGAATCCCTAATCCCCATATGAACAATTTGTATGTGGGATGGGGAATAGAATAACAACATTTTAAAATGAAAACCCCAATGAATATTTAATGTGCATAATACTATATATACAAGAAACTATACAAAATGGTGTTACTAATACTCTCCAATGTTTAAATGTGTCCGAAATATCAGTTAACTGGACGAAATTAATGCATGACTTGGATGAATTAAAAATGTGTCATTCAACCAACCAGACATACAACTACACACTCATTCAGACTCGACAACAATTACTAAAGAGCACAATCGGAAAACGAAAAGTGTCTTGCATTCACCAGAGAACAGACATTTCTGGTCAGCTAACGGCTGATTGGTTTCGTTTATTTTGTTTGACGGTATATCAACCTCAATGGGTTATTTAATGCCGACAACATTTTTAGGATAGCTTCGTATAAATAGAATATGTATTCTTTGGTTTAGATTGGTTTGATTTATTTTGTTTTATGGCATATCAACCTCAATGGGTTATTTAATGCTGACAAAATTTTTTATTGCTGGTAATATTTTGTTTTGTCAAAAATCTGTTTCTGGTAATATATTTCCTTCAAAATTGTATTGCTGGTAATAATTTTTTCAAAAAAGTATTGCTGGTAATAGTTAACTATTTGCCCATAGCTGGGACACTTACAGGTGCTACCAGCCTGGGTCAGGGTGGACCTGGGAACATCAGTAATTAAGAGGTGGTTCCACGCTCTTCAAAACCTCCTGATCAGAGGCCTTGCTGATGGACGTAGTTTAACGTCTTACCCAAGACGTGGATGTAGTTTAATGTCTTACCCAGGACGCTAGAAGAACCAGACATGATATGGCGACATTATTCAATGTAGTTATATATTTTTTTTATTTAACCAAGTCAAGTATGAAACTGTGTACTATTAACAATTAACAATTCGCAGTTTTTCCATATTTTTAATAAGCAGAGAAATCAATTAATGCCACTTTGACAACCAAAATATTATTTTAAAAATATTATTTTAGTAGTCAACGTGCAAAATCTTAGAAAAAATTTGGTTCGTATATCTGACACGAACTCTTGATCTGTGAAAAACCAAAGACCTTTCGATGTTTCTATACGCAATATTTTAATCGTGATATTATTTTCAATGACACACGATATCCAAACTGCTGTTGATTGTCGACAGAGTTACCAGGGAACACACTCTAATCCTCAAAGCTGGCAGAAAATAAAGAAATATATAATTTTGGCTGCTCGACATTTGTTTCAGAAACTTCGTTCGGCGGACAAGCAACATCGCCTTTTACACGAGTAAATACGGTTCCTCTTCCTTGCCGTATTTTAGCGTCAAACATATTAACGGAAACTCGAGGGGGTCAATTTGAGCAGAGGTCAAGTGTATTTGATTGCTTCTTGACCTTTCTTCAATTTCGCTTCAAACCACAGAGATCGGGCTCAATTTTGGCTAAATTGAAACACGAGATAGAAAAAAAGAAAATCTTTTAAGCCGATCTCATGTTTCGAAACCGCTTTTAAAATTTATCTTGCATTGTATCATATACCTGACTCCTCCTTTTGATGCTTTTATCTTAAGAAGATTCAGATCAGGCCAGAGAAATAGAGTATGAATGAGCGAAATTCTCAAGTTCCACCAGTTCAGACCTTCACATCTAAAACCATCCGTACCATATACACCATTCTCATTCATTTTGCATACCATTAGTAAGAGGATTACGGTCATAACACGTTGAAACATCGGTTCTCGTACGATCACAGAAGTTAAGCAAATGCGAGTCTGGCCAGTACCTAGATGGGTGACCACTTGAGAATATCAACTGTAAGCTTGGATGTGAGAATGGTATAATGGAAAATTGCTCGGTGAGCCGAGTTCCAATTCCCGTTGGGTTCGTTATATTCCCTTACTCACAAATACTTTTAGGAATGGAATGAATTCACCTTTCATGAGTCAATTAAACCATAGGTAGTTACCCAGCTATGGGTTAATTAGTAGGAATTGTAGTATTAAATCATTATTATCTCTGAAGTAATTCCTACAATTCTGGCTTTAAATAATCTGCAAAAGGTTGATAAGTCTTTAAAAAAACGAATCATTCAACCCATTGATAAGAAGGAAATGTCATTCGTGCTGCTTCTTTCCGACAGCTACTACTTTATGTAACAGGCTCCCGAGAAAATACTTCCCTGATCACTAAAACTTTAAGCACTTCAAATGTAGTGGTAACCATAACATATGGTAATAATCTGTACTTAATACCTCCTCCTATGTCCAGTTAAAAAACATTATTTAACCACCGTCATTTAGAAATACTCTGCATTGAGTGGCTCATGGTGTTCGTATTGAACATTTACTAAAAAAAAAAAAAAAAGTTCATCTTCCTGTCAACAAAATTCTCACCTACGATCAAACGTTCGCAAGCCAGCACCTACTTTATTTTTTACTTTTGAAAAAAAGGTGTTTCCAGTAAACTCAGCTTATATATATATATATATATATATATATATATATATATATATATATATATCCTGTTTAGTGCAGAGTCCCTTTGGGACGTGTACTGTCTATACTTTGTAGCTCTAAGCAATATTCGCCTTTTTAATATGCCTTCTAGTTCTTATTTTGCCATCCATTTACGAGAGGTCTTTTTTCTTCTACGTCCTCTAGGACGATGACGATCATGGCCCTCCACAATTTCCTGTCCTTTGTAGCTCTAAATAAATTCTGTCTTTTGGTATTTCTCCCATCCTCAAGATCGCCAGTTATGTTATGCGTTGTTTTCCTCTTTCTCTCTTACCTTCTGTCCTGTGTGTATCACATTTTCCAAGCCCTCTTTCCTCATTATGTGCACTAGAAATTTGAACTGTCTCTTTTTGACGTTAAGTATAAGTGTTCTTTTTTGCTTTCATTTCCTCTAGAACTTCGTTATTGCTCACATGCTATGATTTGGTCAATGATATTCTCAGCATCCTCCTGTAGAATCAAATTTCTGTTGCTTCAGATCTCTCCTTGCCATATGGGATATAAGAGTTCAGCACTCTTTTCTTTGTTTCTAACGATATTTCCTTATTTCTTAATACTTTAGGTAATAGTATATATATATCTTACTTATTATAAAACGCAGGTGTGTGTGTGTGTGTGTGTGTGTGTGTAACGTTTATATGTTGGATCGAATTTCCTACATTTTTTAGCCGATTTCAACAAAACTTCACAGGACTACATAAAATTACCTTGTGGTGGTTCTAACGGGGCCGAAAATGGGAAAAATACAGTTGTTTTTTAATAAAATCAATTTGAAAACACGATTAAGACACATCGTGAGAATGAAAGGGGGAGAACTCACCCACGAAAATGTAAACAAAAGAGCATAGCATGATGAAAAAGACGCCGAACTTGACGAAAACAAAATTTTATCGTCTAATGTTCATATTATTATTAAAGAGGAAAGATCAAAGTATTTTGGGGTATTTTTTTACATTTTTTAATCGTTCCTAGCACGTCTGAAATTTTCGTTAAAAATATTGTTTTTTTGGGGGTCAAAAAAAGGGCAGATAATCATTTTCAATCATTTTTTTCGATTTGATAAAAAAGATTAAAATCTTACTTTGATATTCTTTTAAAAGTCAATTATCATTTTTTCAAAACTGATTTTAATAAAAACAGATATTATACTGTTTATTTAAAATATTTTGAACCAAGCTTAACTTAGCTTCTGCGCCGAAAAAATGTAATTTGAAAATAAAACAAAGCAGGTCATAACCTTTCGCGTCGCTTGACGATTGACGAAAGGCACATTCATGACGTTTAGATAACTTACGGGAGGAGAATTCTTTCTTCGGATGGAAGGAAGTGAAATTATTTAAGTGAACAAATTATTTACCTTGTTACTTTTGAGGAAAACTTTCAGCGCTCTAATTTTTTATTTTTTATTTTTTATTTTTTTTTTTATAGCTTTCATTTTTACGTTTACGATGCTTTATAGAAAATATAAAGAAATTAAAAAATAAGACTGTTAATAGTGAGGTTAAATTTCATAAGAAAAAGGTATCTAATTAATTTAGGTACCTTTCTTATGAAATTTTATCAGAAGTGTACATAAAATACTATAATTTTATGTACATTTATTACATTTTACTGTGTTATTTGTATTTCCATTCATTTTATTATTAATTTTGATATTTCACTTATGGAAAAATGTCAAAACTGAGATTAATATAAAAATAAGATCATATAAATTAAAGTTTAGCAGTAGTTAAATTTCATAAGATGATACTGTTACTTGTAGGTACCCTTCTCAGTTGAAATTGAAAACTCAAATTAACTTCTCCATACGTGTTTCGCAAAAGTAAAGGGCTTAACAGCGGAGAACAATGCTGAACTCAAATAATGCAACTAAATTGTATTCTGGTTGGTCTTGATATAATTACTGTCCGACTATAAACACAAAATTACATTTCTTAATTACCATGGCTAATCTGATTGGTCCAAATTATACAATTTTCAAAGCGCGAGACAATGACAATCTCACACGGACATTTTGAAAGGTTGATGTTGCTTTTAACTAATGTTAAAATATTTTTTAAAAATTCAATTTAAACATTTTTTAAAAAATTTTTAAAATTAAAGAAATAAGAAATAATTGTATTAAAAATTCAATTTTCATTGAAAAAATTTTTGCTTTCAGAAAATATTGTCCATATTCATAAAACAAATTAAAACAAATAAAAAGCATTTGAAACTAAATAATATATTTGTTTTATTGAGTTTTGTATGTTACAATTCACAGCTGATTTTCAGGTACGTTGGCAAAAAAAAAAAAAAAAAACAACATGATTTGCATTCTTCAAAGCCTTGTGCTTTTAACTATTGTAATCACTAAAACCGATGGTCTCGAATTTCTAGAGTTTTTCATAAAATTAGTTATGGGGTGTTAATAAATATAAAAAAAAAATTATTTCTGCCATGACTTTAATAAAAAAAACATTTATAATAATTTCGATCATCTGTGAATAGTTTCTGAAAGTTTCATTAACATCTGACAATTATTTTTATTTTTGCAAGATTTTCCAAATTAATGTGTGTAAATACAAAAAAAAACGCGCTAAAAATTATCTATGTTATTTACTACCCCTTGTTGCGACAAAGAGAAACAAGGTTTTTTTAAATCAAAATTTAGAATATTCTAAAAAGATGGAAAAATTTTTAAAAATAATTAAAAAAAAATTTAGTCTATCCTCTTCATAAAAACATAAGCATTTTGACGATAAAATTTTGTTTTCATAAACTTTGGCGTCTTTTTCATCAGACTATGCTCTATGTTTTAGCGATTCCGTGGAGTGACTTAGGTTAACAAACCCAGGTTGTTTTATGTGTGTGTGTGTGTGGGTGTGTGTGTTCCTTTATATATGGGATCGGATTTCTTACATTTTTCAGCCGATAAAACAAACATCCACTTTTTTTTCGGCAGGTAGTGTTTCTTATTGTCTTGCACACTTTTTTCTTTATTTACATTCAGAATGCTTTAAAAATTCCATTTACAAGACAATTGTTTATAAAAAAATCCTATTCACCAATCGATAGACTCATAACGATTGTAAACAATGTTTTTGTTTGAATTTGGGTTTGACCAATTCGTCAAAAAAAAAAACAAAAAAAAACTAATTAAGACATGCGTGTCCGTCAACCTTAAACAATAATCTTTGTCAATTTTATTTTTCAGTCTTTATGATGGTCGATACTTGATCTATCTCATTGTTACATCCCCCGGGCAACGCCGGGCTCTACTGCTAGTATATATATATATATATATATATATATATATATATATATATATTATGAAATGGAAAAAGTCCGACAATTATTTAAGACATTTTCATGTTTATACATTCTTTTTATAGATGCAAATATTTAAGTAAATGCTCTGTTTTATAATAAACAGTATTAATAATATTTACCGGCCTTAATGTCCGAGAAATTTTAATAGAAAATATTCGTCCTCCGACGGGAATCGAACCTGTATCCTATACGGAACCGTCATATAGCTAATCGAATGATCCTCCGTGGCTCGATCGGTTAAGGCATTTACTTAAATATTTCTATTTATAAAAAGTATGTATAAGCATAAAAATGTCTTAAATATATATAATCATCCACAGACAGACTGCTTAGCTGTATCACAGCTCATCAGATAGGATCGAAACCCGACCGAATTGGCGTCAGTCGGGATTCTACCACCAAGCCGTCGGCGCACGGCAGGGGTGAAGGTGAATTTAAGCGCATATTTATTTTTAGATAAACACACAGTGACTGAGAGAACTCTATTCGATTTACCGAAGAGTCTTGCATTATTAGCCGTAATAATCACTGTTTACAAACCTGCACTTCCTCCCAAGAGTGCTCAACCGAAATAAACTTTTCAGATACACACACCTGGTCAAAATCTTAAGACTAGATACAAAAGGGTTAAAAAAAAAATTACTGTTACTTAATCAAAATATATTTACGAAACATTTACATTTAATTAGAAAATGTTTTTTTATCAACAGACAAGTGAAAAATTTAAGCTTTTAATTGATTAATTTAAACCGATATTGAAAAAAATAAGAATTTTTTGTTTGGTCATAAAGACCATGTAAATAAAAATAGCAAATACAGAACAAATAAGTGACAACGACAATTTAATTCTCAGTATATCCGCCACTTTTGCATTTCTTTACCCCTTTTGTATCTGGTCTTAAGATTTTGTCCAGGGGTGTATTAGCCGTTTCCTTATAAGGAAACATTTGACATTCATTTACCGAGAAACTTATACTACTGTA